TTTTTTCCAGGCCATGCGTCTTGTTCAAGCCTGTGTAGATGTGTTGAGCAGCAACGGATGGCTGTCACCTGCGCTGGCCGCCATGGAGCTTGCCCAAATGGTAAGTGGGCTCGTGCGCACTCTCAAAAGAGAGAGATGAAGGATTTTAAAAGTCTTGAGAGCTCTTTTCGCTCTATTGTCGTGGAGTGAAAACCAAAGTTATTACTATGCCTTATTAGAACAAACGAAAATGTCACAAGGAGCCAATGAGAGTTCAACATGAAAACGAGCAAAAATGACTGGAGCGCGGGAAAATGCATGTGACCAAGTCGCGAATGGTTTTAGTTTCGCATCCGATTGGTTTTTAGAGCACTTGATTGATTATGGTAAAACCAAAACCAAAGTAAAATCAACGGCCAATCAGATGAAAAGAAAATACCTTTTAGAGCCAATGGGAAGTCAGAGTGATAACAACCAAACTGTCTAAAGCGCGGGAAAACGCGGGCGGCAAAACGCGGGCGGCAAAACGCGGGCGGCAAAACGCGGGCGGCAAAACGCGGGCGACCTAGTCGTGTATGGTTTTAGTTTTGCATTTGATTGGTTGAGGGGGTGCGAAATTCTTTGGTCATATCACAGTGCGAAGTAATGCAAAACCAATGTAATTACGGAATATTTTCGACACTCAAATAAAGATTGGTCTGAAGGGTGGTGAAGTAGGGCGAGCTTATGCAATTTCGGAATACCGTGGTGCGGAAATTTTTATTAGTAGTAGTATTCACAGTTCACATTCTCATTTCCTTTATGTAGGTTACTCAGGCCATGTGGAGCAAAGATTCCTACCTGAAACAAATTCCTCATTTCAGCTCGGAGATAATCAAACGATGCGTTGATAAGGTACCGTAAAGGCAATTAACATTGGGGTTACGCCCATTTGCTCAAGGATGCATTGTAATACTCACAGAGTATAACGTTCACTCATCACGAAGTGGCTCTGAATTGACTTGTTAAATGCGAGAAACTTTCTGATATTGTAAGCACAATAAAAGAAATTTACATGCGGTATATTTCAGGGAGTGGAATCAGTGTTTGACATCATGGACTTGGAAGACGATGAAAGAAACAAACTTTTGAAACTGGATGACAGCCAGATGCAGGTAAGAAACTGCTATGTTTAGTTAAAACTAAACGTTTGTTGCTACTTCTCTGTCTGTCGGTCAGTCGGTCATTCGTTCGTTCTGTCTGTCTGTCTGTCGGTTGGTCTGTCTGTCGGCCGGTCTGTCTGTTTGTCTGTCTGAGTCTGTCTTGTCTGAGTCTGTCTGTCTGCCTCTCTTTCCCAACTGTTCTACCTTTCTTTCATTGCAGGATGTTGCCAGATTTTGTAACCGATATCCAAACATTGAATTGTCCTTTGAGGTACAGGATAAGGACGATATCTCTGCGTAAGTTCAAACTGCATCCTCCATTGTTTCGCTGTTTCTCCCAGAATTGTGAATATCGTCATTATGTGTGTTAGTCCAGGAATCTGTAGCACTGAGTTTGTGAATTATTGTGTAGATGACATTGATAGCGCGCTTTATTGCAATTGTGGTTCCCTGGACTAAACATGATATTCCTTGGTTCCTTATTTGAAGGGGCTCTCCTGTGAATGTTGTGGTGGACCTTGATCGTGAGGATGAGCAGCCAGGCCCGGTGATTGCACCGTTCTTTCCGGGAAAGAGAGAAGAGGGCTGGTGGCTAGTTATTGGGGACACCAAGAACAATGGGTAAGAAGACGGCACTTTTAGATTCAGACTTATTTTAATCACAAAGCAAACCAAGATGAATTAGAGATATTTATTATATATTTCATATGGTTTTCGCACTCAAATTGGTCGATAGGTGTGTTAAGATAATCGTTTGTAAACTCAGTCGTTAAGTCTTAGACTTAAACACTTGTTCTGTATTTTTTTAAAATATTCTGTAAAAGCTATAGGTCTCTTGTCGATAGTTTTACAAACCACCAGAGGCTTCTCAGATTTGGATTCTTTTCTCAAATTCTCCCTTCTTCCGGTGTTGAGATGAGGCTATGTGACAAAGATCCTCGAGCCAGCCTTCAGATCGTCACCAAGTTATTATGCCGACGCATGTACTTTAAGCCGTTTAGAAGTTTGAGAAGTTTATTAATTAGTTTTGTTAATATTTTAAAAGAGTTACTTTGTAGCTGGATACGAGCCAGCCTTCAGATCGTCACCAAGTTATTATGCCGGCGCATGTACTTTAAGCCGTTTAGAAGTTTGAGAAGTTTATTAATTATTTTTGTTAATATTTTAAAAGAGTTACTTTGTAGCTCATTGTTACCGTATCGGAGCGCAAAATCAGAAATCGATTCCTTGGGGGAATTATGTTGTTGTTGCAAGTCCACGAGCAGATAAACGACATTTTACTCTATTCGAAGACTGAGCTAAAATTATTATTTTTATTTCACTGACCTCACCCCATAGGGGCTTTTCAGGAACAATAAAGTACAATAAAAAAAAATTGTATATAAAGGAATATTAATAGCGAAGAGAATGTTTTTTTTCAGCCTAGGTAGATAAAAACCTATTTAACAGAAACGCCGTAAGTTGTCACTACTATTTTTTTTTTCAGTAGTAAGAAAGTTTACATGTGACAAAAAAAAAATAATCGCGAATCGTAACTAAGCTCTTTTGAAACGTTTCTTTTTCTTTCAGATTAATTTCGATCAAGCGTCTTACGCTTCAACAGAAGGCCAAGGTTAAACTGGACTTTGTGGCTCCGAGTTCGCCTGGGAACTACTCTTATACTCTGTTTTTTATGTGTGACACATACATGGGGTGTGATCAAGAATATCCGTTCAAGATTAACGTCGGAGAAGCCGCCAGTGGAGACGAGGAAAGCGGCGACAGCGAAGCTGATGATTAAGAGATTTTGTGATACAAAAACTGAACAAATTCTGTCATCGTTATCGCGTGACTGCAACGGAACACTTAAGTCAGGCAATCCCGTCTTTCAGATTGTGGCGGCAGATACCTACTCCCAATGTACATAATAGTTGAGCGACTACGGTTTAAAAGAAACCTTAGCAAGTGGTTTTTTTTTTCTTTTTTTTTAACAGTAACTCTTTCTCGAAAACCTCAGTATGCAATAAATTAAAGCGATGTGGAAATAGTTCGAAAGAAGTTAAACGATTCTTGGAGAGTTATTTTAAACTTCTTTCTCCATAAGTGCCATTAAATATTGTAGGACATTGTAAACTTGTTCGAAAATGAATAGAGCTCGTGTAAAAGACATTTTTCATTAATTAGACTGACTGTGTATACAAACGTACCCATAAATGAAATACCGGATGTCTTATCAATGCAACCCTGCATTTGGATCAGCCTTAAACATAACGTAAAGCACTGAAAAGATTTCCTTTTAAGATATATTTGTGATCGCTTTACGCATTAGTACTTTTCAATGTAAAACCCCCAAGGGTAGAATGTTAGGTAAAACTTGTACAGTTTCACTTGCAATCCTTGTTGGCAAGTTATTTACATAAGTAAGTTTTGTTCACCTCCTTTATACTGGCACTATTAACATTGTCATCTCTTAAATGTTCGTCATACAAGATCTTGCTGGATCTTGGAGACATGTTTGAGGCTTGACAATGTTGCCTTGGTCTCTGGTAAACTTATTTTCTGATTGTGGAATTTGTCCGGCGTATAAAAGGGAAAAATATCGCAATTTTATAATCAGTTTAAGCTGATAAGTTGAGCTCTTTCGAGAGTAACAAAAGCCCTTACTTCAGTAAATGACTAATACGATCAGTCGCCAACAGCTGAGCTTTTCAACATTCAGTTCGACAATTTAATTTTACCAGAAGGGACCTTTAATAAGCAGTCTGACAAGTGTTTCAGTTGCCCGTCGACAGGGCAAAATATTCTATTTTTAGAAATTAATAACTTTTCCAAAATCATTACATTACATCTTTCGAAGTGTTTTAACGTAGATGTCTTGGAGAGATAACAACTAAAACTGCATTATGTTCGACTTTTTTAAAGATTGCTTTCTTGGTCTATTTTGGGACTCAAATTTAATATGAGAATTACCTTCGAAAGCGGACGTAAGCTATCTTCCTCTATTTATCTTTAAAAGTCTTAGACGACGATGTTATTTTTGAGACTTCCGTGCGGCGAAGCACATAGACACGCACAAAAAATGTCGACTTTTCCGATGATAAAATCTTAAGTAACTGACTGAGGATCAAGACATCATTTCAATGACTTTCCAAACCAAACGCGAAGTATATCTTTCATTCTTTTTTTTCCCCCTGATATTGTTCGCCGATAATTAGCTAGGTTAGTTTTTGTGCCTTGCCATACTTTGACGTTACGATTAAATGCCTAACTTTTCCAGCTGTTTGGAGAATGAAAGGTTTCACACTTTAAAAGACAAAAAAAGTCCAGCATGAATGCAGCATTTTATAATTACTCTCTCTAAATTTCAGTGACGTTACCCTCAACTTTAATACAGAGATTATAGTGCCTGTCATGAATAGCTAAAGGTATTTAAATTTCTTTCATTTAAAGATAATATTTCTTCCGAGGCCTTTATAAAGTACATCACGGGGCAGTGATTTTTTTACCCAGTAAAGTGCATTCACGTAGGTGTCAAACTGCGCCACTAACTTGAAAGCTTTTCAAATGACTATGTTTAACAGCTTCATATTTCTACTTTGTCGAGAATGTCAGACTCTTACCCGCCAGTCTTAAAACCTCCCTTGGCCGCTGCAATGTTTGCTTCATCGGCAAAGAAAAAATTCTGTCAAATGCGTGAAGGCTGTTATCTGAATGAAGGTTCTTTTAAATCGGAAATGGAATTTATTTCCAAATGACCTTTCTATTGTTTTGTCAGTACTTTGGCTTTTATTCAATGACAACCGACGTAAGTTGTTAAATTTACATATGAAGTTGTAGTAGTAGCGTTTTTTTTTTTTTAGCATTTAATCTGAAATCAGTTCCGTAATATCTTCTCGTAACTTTGTGTAGGTGCGGTCAATTATCTCTTTCTATACTATGGTAGGGTTTTTTTTCTCGACAGAAGAAACCAAAGTTTTGAGATTTATTTTGTCAGCCGAAAGTAACAAGCATCAAAAGGCGTTCGAAATTACTTCAGTGATAGCGTGTGAAATCACTGCTTCAACATATGTGCATATTAAACATCGTAACTAAAGTTTTCTCGGCAAGTTTTTGAATTGTGCCTTGGGAGGAAACTTTGTGTTTATTATAAAACTCGACCCAAGAAGGAAACTGCAAAAGTTTCCTTTTTTTTCACGAAGAAGAGGTAAGTCCTAGATTTCTTTTTTCTCTCCGTTAAGATAACCTTTTCTTTCATTTATTTGTAATGTTATGTTTCATGTTTGGCTATGCTAAATGAGAAATAGGGATTCAGAAATGTGATGGAAAAATTGGAACATCATGGAAAAAAAGACACGAAAACCAGGCGTAAAGGAAACAAGGCTGGGTTGGGTTCTCACCAAAATTTTGTTGCAAAAAAATGCAATTGAGACAAATTTCCAAATATTTATTTTCCGTCTGCAGATTTCAAAGAAACCGGACTACTTGGAGAGTAATAAAGTAAACAGAGTGTTGCATGTTAATTATGAAAATTGTCGGTTGGCTGAAATGAAACATATCCAATCGTGATTTCGCAATTTCAGGTTTTTTCATGAATTAGTCCTAATTCATTCGATTTTTTTCTTAAAACTGTCGGTGGTTTCACTCTAAAATCTAACGAGGAGATCAAACTGAAATTGATTGAGAGGTCGACAGAAGCGCTTGAAGATAAAGAAACTAAAAGACATGAGAGTTTAAAGTTTTAGGTATCAGTTTAAATCAGAATCGGAAATTTACAGCTGAATGACCGAAACAGAATGCAAGAAATCCGTAAGAACAGTCCAACAGCTTTAAATTCAGTTCATGTTTTTCAATTAAACACTTTCTCCGTGCACAACAACAACAGTCGACTTCAAGTAGATTATGAAGAATTCTGCCTAAGTATTAGCTTAATCTTTGAAGAAACTTGATTCACGAAGGAGTCGATGTAAGTTTAGTCAGGAAATATACTGACATCTACTGAGTGAATTTGATTATGGAGAGAAGGGTAAAAGATCTGAAAATTGGAGATATCAGCTCGACTTTCCTACTGATTGAATTTTCCAGCATAAGAAATCTAATGCACAACATCATTACGAAGCGTAATTATATGCCGAATGTTTATTTTAAAGCTAAACTGATGCTCGCCACAAAGGACGACTGATTAGTCCAACAAAAATTGGTTCCAAAGATAAAATATTTAATTTCCTCGAAGGATGAATTCCGAGCCAGTTCATAACACTTGGCTTTATTCCACTAGGGCCGCTCAAAAAATAATTCATTTTAAATCGTATCCACGCTTTTGAGGAAAAAGTATATGAAATACTCCCCATTTCCATCTGCCATAATGTTTACATTTAATTTGGAGAACATAAAAGGCTTATTTGACTTAAAAAGATTTCAACCTTGCTTCAAGCAATCAGCACCAACTTATTGAAACATTTGCAATTAAATCCGGTCAATTTATCACTTGGCAGAACTCAATATTTACCATCATCAATCACTTTTATAAAAGCTATCAACAGTTTAGGATTCAAAGCTATTGTTACTCTTCAAAGCCTCTACGAAAAAGAAACATTTAAAGCTCCTTTTCTCTTTATTTTAAAAAAAAAATTACTGTCGATAACAGCGGGGGCATTGCAAAACCGTGTTTCAGAGGTTGTCGCCATGTTTCGACAGGCAGATGTAATACTTAGTTGTTCATTAACACGATCGATCGCCCTTGAACCGCGCAAAGAGCAGGTAACGAGAGTATTGTCTGGTGAAACTAAGTTATCTTCACATTTTTCAAACTTTCTACGAGATATGGCACCTCCCAGGGCACTCCCACGAAATACCCCTAACAGAAATTATTTATGTTTGCCTTTTCCGTTTTCATAATTCAACCGATGACAAAAATTACTCCATCTCTCAGCTACTACGCGCGCTGTGATTGGTTACATAAGCGAGTTGTATTTACCCGGCGGCTTGCAATCTATACAAAATTGACCTTGTCGCCGAAATTTCGCGTTTCATTGCCAATTGTTCTTAATCATTTGCTTCCTGTTAATTGTTCCAAAGAGTGCTAACAAATGAACCGCGATTTCGAATCGAGCCGTTCTTCTTTAAGTGCGTTAGTCATTTTATAGCCATTTCGTTGGAATAGCAATCGTTTCCAAAAATCTTCATGTACACAGGAGATATCAGAACATCTTACAAACCTCATCTTCTCGGTCTGTAAGGTAAGCTATAGAGCCTTGCCATTTCGTCTTCGATTTTTGACACTCCATCCATCACCGCGATATCATAGAAGGAGGTTTGCCATATTTTTAGGTTCTATTCTTTTCTATTCCTTTTCCCGACAGCTTTTTAAAGAGATTGATAACGTGCATTATTAGGCCGATGAAACATTTCTATGGGCAACTCCCATGACACTCCCACGAAATGCCCCCTACCGAAATTATTTGTTAGCTTTTACGTTTTCAAAACTCAAATAATGCCAAAAGTAACTTTGATCTTTCTGCTACTACGCGCGCTGTGATTGGTTAATATGGTGGGTGGTATTCTTCCGGTGGCTCGCAAAAGATACAAAGTTGACATTATCGCCGAAATCTCGCATTTCAGCGCAATGCTTTCCAATTGCTTGTTTTCTCTGAATTGTATTAAAAAATGTTAGCAGATGAACAACGATTTAGGATTGATCTGCTCTCCTTTCGAAATGTTTCATGGAGCCATCTCGTTTGAACAAAATCGTTTGCTAAAATCTTCATATACACAGGAGATATTTCATAAAAAAATCAAGCTAACCTCGTCTTTTCATTCATTAAGGTAAACTATAGATAGTGGCCATTTCCCTTACGACTTCCGGTGTAGTCTGGTTCATTGTGATATCTTAGAAGGAGGATGTTTTTTTTTATTTTAGCCAGTAGCTTTTAAGAAACTTTTGTGCGCACCGCAAACACTTAGATGTTTATCGACGCGAAATGGAAACGGGTAGATTTAAACCACTGTAACAAATTTTGAAAGGCGCAAGGTTGTAGGCATTGTGAGTGTCGCCTAAAATTGAAATTTCTTTTCTCATTTTTTCAACACTCCGCATTGAAAATGTTGTTTTACTAAATTAGACACCTCCTCTGACACTCCCATGAAATGCCCCTTATTGAATTTTTCTTTTGATTCAACCAATAACAGAGATGAGTTTAATCTCCACGCTGCGACGTGGACTGTGATTGGCTAATTTGGCGGGTTATCTTCTTCAGCGCTTCCCGCAAATAAACCAAAATAAGCTATGTTGTCAAATTCTCTCGTTTTATCGCCAATTGTTCATAATCATTTGCTTCCTTTTAATCGTTTTTAAGGGTGCTAATGAATGAACAACAATTGACTCTTTCTCCTTTCCAAGTGCGTCAGTCAGTTAAAGCCATTCCATTTGAATAGAAATCGTTTTTCAAAATATTTACCCGCGAACAGAGAAAATACAACACAAGAAAACCTTGCTAAGCACTTCGTCTTATTCGTTAGGGTAAGTTAAAGATATCTTTACTATTTTCCCTACGAGTTCTTGCACACTCTTGCACGTTAATATCTTAGAAGGAGATTTTCCATTCTTCTAAGGAAGTTGTTTCTTTGCCGATAGCTTTTAAGAGATTGTTGCGCGCATCGGCGGGCAGATGAAATACTTCGATAGTTATCAACGCAAAATTATAACAAGAAAGTTCAAACCACCGTAACTAAGTTTAAAAAGCTGTTGAACAAGTGATCATGCCAGTACCGCTCTCTAGTTACAAAAAGGTTCGTCCTCATTCCTCATATACTTTCTTGTGAGTCAGGAAGCACCTCCCGCGGCACTCCCACGAAATGCCTCTTGCTGATTTTATTCATTTTGGCTTTCACATTTTCAACCAACTACAGCAATTGTGATTGGTTAATTTAACGCACTATTTTCTCCCGCACGACCTACAAACACTTCTAAGTTGACTTAATTCCCAAAATCTTACGTATTTTTTTTGTCGCCCATCGTTCTTAAATCGTTCGTTTTAATTTGAGTGTATTCTGAGGTGCAAACGAATGATCAACGATTTCGAAATGACTTGTTTTTGTAATGAGGTGCGTTACTCCTATGAAGTTGTTCCGATCGTAACAAATTATGATATTTAACGACATTGCATCGAAAGTGATTTTAATTACGTAAGCTTTTCGAAACTCGCTACGCTACAGGAACAAATTTGCCGGAACCAGCTGATTCTTCATCAACCTTGACAAAAATAAGATGTTACGTAACTGGAAGCTGTTGCATTTCATGAAGTATCAACAGACAGATATCGTTATTTACTCGATTGTATCGAAAGCTGTTAGGAAGCGCTTTCAAGCGATACTTTCGCTGATTTCTAACAACGACGTACTTTCATTCTTATCTGAAATTACAGACCACCTAGAAGCGCCACCTACACCTGCCGCTTAACTATGGAAGATGAAAGTGCTTGGGTAATTAAAAAAGATTGCTCCGGAGTTGACACAGATTCGGTCAAAAGCTTCTGCTTCGACAGTGACTCTGTGGCTCTACGAATAGCAAGAATGCTTCCTTATGCTCTTATTATTTTGGGATCTACGGTTGGAAATATTCTGGTCGCTTTCGTTGTCTTCAGAAGTCGCCCCATGCGAAAGGCGATAAACTTCTTTATCGTGAACATGGCTATGAGCGATTTATTGATCACACTGGTGTACATGCCGAGAGTGATTGGCATTCTATTAAGAGGTTACGAATGGCTTTCCGAAGGCATAGCTGGGTTAGTGTTTTGTAAACTGGTGTACTTCATTCATGAGACAGCTGTCAGTGTGACAATATTTTCTGCAATCTGTATCAGCGGTGAACGTTTCCTAGCTGTTGTACGTCCATTGAAGACTTTGGCCAACGGCACTAAAGCGGCGCGCTACTTAATCGCTCTTACATGGATGATATCCTCGCTTCTTAGGATTCCAATCTTGATCGCAAACAAAATTGGTGAACACTGTGGCAAAGTATACTGCAGCCTCTCTCTGGATGAAGTGTTTTGGCCAGGTTCCTCAGTATTATACCACAAATTCAACTTGATTGGCATGTATGCCACGCCCATGGGAGTCATGATCGCTCTGTATTCAGCAACGATCTTTTCTTTAAAGAGAAGAAGTCGTCCTGGAAATAGAGTTACAACCGAGAACACACAAGCTACGGAGATGAACAGAAAAGTGTCCCGAATGGTGCTCGTAGTTACAACTGCTTTCATTCTTTGCTGGATTTTATACTTTATTATTGCCGTTTTGATGTCGTATGACGTAAAAATCTCATGCAATATTCTGTATCTTAGACTTCTTTTCGCCCACTCCAACTGCGCGCTGACGCCTGTGCTTTATGCGCTGTTTAGTGAAAATTATCAGCGGGAGTTTAGAAACTTGTTTTGGGCATGTCTTTGCCTGCGGCGCCCAAGGCGACGAGCAAGAACTAGCGAACGTTTGGGAATCAACGAGAGGGCATGGACTGTAGAAACAATGACGGAATGTCAACTATAAATTTCTCAGTTGCTATCAGCTCATTTTAAAAACAACTAGTATACAAATGATCAGGTGTTATTTATGAAAACTGGTGCAAATTAAAGTGGGTTTCCATTTTCGGTGAAGAAATCCGAGAACAAGTAATAAATATGAAATAAATCAATGTGTAATTTGTAATTGACCGTCTTTACTTTGCTATGTGATTGTTCGACCTAAAACTCACCCTAATTTCTTAACTAATCAGACTCTCAGTTTGATTGTTTTTTGGCACAAAACAGGATCAAGCCCTCAGTGATATCCACTTTTTTACCGTATAACAGATCGGCGAAAACTATCATGATGTGACTAAATTGTTTGTGGTTATTATAAACTTGTCCATTTTGCTAATATTTGATTTTTACTCGGGCTTTCCAAAGGAAACGCCCAAGTTGAAATTCCAGG